ATTCAATAAACATGTTGTTTTGGGTTAATTAGTTAAATTAATTATATTTTGAGATAATTAGCAACATCAATCACTAACCCAACAATTTGGATATCGTACTCCAGATTGAATAGCTAATTCCTGTTACCGTGCACGTGTCCGGATAGCTAATCCTTATTTTTCCAAACAACTCCATGACTATTTTTGGTGTGTAGTCCAGAGAAGTTCAAGGACCATTTCAGAAGATCAAAATACCATCACACAAACAAAAGGAACAATCTTTTCCAGCAAAATTTCTCCAAACTCATACATTTTGTGACTCTCTGATGCGCAGACTCTTCAAACCTAGCCATGCATATCTATGTGCTGCATTTAGAAGCCCGAAAGCTCTCGTTCCAATTTCTCTTCTCCACAACGCGGGCTACATTGCCAACCGGGTTGAAGAACTTCAATCATCGAAATCCATAAGCCAATCATCAGCGAAGAGAAGTGAACCGTCGGATTTTGTTGTACCCTCCAAAGGGACTAAGGAATCAAGGGTCAGGATTCAGCATCCATGGTCGGAGTGGGTGAACTTGATGGAGTGCTTGTTGAATAAAGGGTATTTTGTTGCAGATGGGAGTCCATTTGAGGAAGGTGAATTGGCTTGTAAGGAATCGAATTATATCCGCACAGCATGCCTTAAATTTGCTAGGGACCGGTATAGTCTTATCAGGTAAAGGAGGATTTTGTTATGTTGATGGCTAAATTTGTCTTTTTTATTGTTTCAGTTTCTTCTTGAGTGCGAATATACTGACTTAATTTCGTATTGTATGTTAAGCACTGGTGTCTAGTCATGGCTTGAACAAGGTATTAGTTTGGATTTCGGTCATTCTTGACGTGCACACAACCTGTTTGATTTTTGGAAATTAACTTTGGTTGATTTGAACAGTGGTCGTGTTCTGATTCAAGAAAGCCAAACTGTAAGAGTTTCTCAGTAAAAACAGTGTTCCACTGTTGTGAAGCTTGTTTGAGTCCATATAAGGACTTTTTAAGCCTGCAAACTTGTGAATGAGAAGTTTTAGTGTAACCAGGAGGAGGTTTGAGATAAGCCTCTTCATCAAGTGTTCCATGAAGGAATGCATTATTGATATCCAATTGGTAGAGGAACCAATTTTTAGCAGCAGCAAGAGCTAAGAAGAGTCTGACTGCAACTGTTTTAGCTACTGGAGACAAGCTTTCAAAATAATCGACACCCTCTGTTTGATCTTATCCCTTGGCTACTAGCCGAGTCTTGAATCATTCTACTGTTGCATATGGAAGAAACTTAACTTTATAAACCCACTTTGTGCCAATAGTATGTTTGTCTGCAGGAAGAGTTGTGAGTTCCCAAGTGTCGTTTGCTTCTAGAGCATCAATCTCCCTTTGCATAGCAGCAACCCACTCTTTGTGTTTAATAGCTTGTTTATAGGAATATGGTTCTGCAATAGCAGTAATATTTGCAAGAAAAGCTATACATGAAGATGAAAAATTGAAAGAAACCTGATATGGATAAGTTGGAGATGTGTAATCTCTGACCATCGAACTTGGAGGCTGCTTGTGCAATGCAGTTGGTATAATATTTGTGATGATAGAATAACAAATGAAATCTTTCATCCACGCAGGTTTGGTTCTGTGTCTGGTGCTGACTCTAAGTGATTGAATAGACTCATGAAGATGAGATATTTTGAGGAGATTGTGAAGACTCTGGATGTGAATCATGCATGGAACCAATAACATTAATGGGAGAGGAATTAAAATTAGAAAAGGACACATAAGCTGAAATATTAACCTTGGGTAGAGGAATGTCTTGTTGGTCAGAATTAACTAAATGAAACGGAAAATAGTTTTCATAAAAGACAACATCCTTGGAAATATGGAATCGATGATGTTCTATGTCGTAAACCTTGTAAGCTTTCTTATCTGTTACATAACCCAAGAAGATACATTTAAAAGATTTAGGATCCAGCTTATCTCGAGAGGACAAATTGTTGGATGTAAAACATAAACACCTAAAAGTCTTAAGTCTACTGTAATCTAGTGTATGACCATAGATAATTTCAAATGGGGTTTTCCATTGTAAAACTGAGTTAGGAAGTTTGTTTATAAGATAAGTAGCTGTCAAAATGATATCTTCCCAAAAACGTTTAGGTAAATTGGATTGAAACGATAACTATCTTTAATAATTGCTTATGTTTTCTCTCTACAACCCCATTTTGTTGGGGGGTGTATGAACAGAAGGTTTGATGAATAATGACTAAGGAGTTCAACAGTTTCTTACACTGCTGATTTATATATTCAGTACTATTATTAGACCTGAGTATCTTCATTGAGTATTGAAACTGTGTTTGAAGCATCTTAAAAAAATTATTAAGAATGGTTTTAGTTTGAGACTTATGATTTAGTAAGAAAGTCCAAATACCCCTGCTAAAATCATCAACCAGAGTCAAAATGTACTGAGCACCATTATGAGTTTGCAGTCCATGTGGATCAAATCAAACATATGAGTAGTTTTTATACCGCCAGTGGAGAAAGGCAACCTATGTTGCTTTGCCATATAACATACATCACAAGGTTGAATGGATGGACAAGACTGATGATTAATGAAATGTAAATGTTTTATGGCAGAAGCAGAAGTAGAAGCATGACCCAATCTAGAGTGCCAAATTTGAGTAGAAAACTCATCTTTATTATTGGAATGTGAAAAAACATTACCATAAACAAAATTGGATTGCTAGTTAGAAGTATTAAAAATGGGCATAGGGATTTTTCCTTTCAGAGAAGTAAAATGACATATCTGATTCTTGACTTTATTTATAACTGTAGCTTTAAAAGATGAGTTATCAAGGATATAAAGTGATCCAAATACTTTACTAACTGCAAGCATATCAGCACTCTTTAGGTTCTGTATCAAGCAACATTCAAGATAAAAGATAAATATTAAATTAGAGGTTTGGATAGCCTTATTAACAGACAGAAAATTATAATGAAAATGAGGAACATATAACACATCCTTCAATGGTATGCATGGGTGTAAGAAGGCAATACCAACTTGATTCACAGTTTTTGTGGTTCCATCAGGCAAATATACAGGGGTGCTTAAGCCAATATCATACATTCCATGAAGCAATTCCTTGTTAAAACACATGTGCATGCTTGCACTTGTGTTTATGATCCATATAGTAGATTGAAAATTTTTACGAAATGAGAATAGAGTATTTTTTGATGATGCAAATTCTGTCCCATGATCAAACATGGCTTGTTCTACCTCTACTAGTTTTTTACCTTTCATAAACCTGGCTATCTCTTGTTGAATAATAGATGTAAATTTGTTCCAGTCAGTTTCTCCCAAATCAAGAGGAGTATCAGCAACACCAACCATGTTGGCTGCCACCTTTTTTTGTTCGACTTTTCCCTTCTGATTCTGTAAGTCTTTCCACCAGTCAGGATAACCGTGTATCTTAAAGATTGAGTCCTTCAAGTGACCTGGAGCATTACAATATTCACAAATTCTATCTCCCTTCTTCATATCCTTCTTCTTAGAATTCCCTTTTCCAACATTCTCATTTTAAAGTTGGATCTAACCAGTAATGCACTATTTTCAACAACATCAGTAACAGAGACAGTCACTTGTCTTTGTTTCTCTACATGTAAAATCGTTGAATAAGCCTTGCTTACAGAGGGTAATGGATCTAGCATAAGGATTTGACTTCGAACTCCTTCATATGATGAGTTCAAACCCATTAAAAATTGAATAAGTTTACTGAATGAATCCATCACATTCATTCTCTTTGTGACATCACAGGTGCAACCTTGGCAAGAACAAACTGGAATCGGATCAAGCGATTAAGTTCATCCCAATTCTTCTTCATCCTTTTGTAATATATAATAGCAGAGTTACTACCTTGTTCCATCAAGACAATGTCTCTTTAAATTTGATATAATAGAGACCCATTATAGATCTCATACATTAGCTCAATTTGCTTGCTTCATCTGGTTTCTGAATCTCTTCAGAAACAATCTTATTCTTAAATTCTAGAGAGATTTTGATAGCAATATTTCAGGTTAGATAGTTGCTTCCTGTAAGTGGAGCTGTAACAAGAGATACTCCAAGATTATCTGACCCATGTATTATTAACGGGTTTCCATTAGTAAGAGTTTGTGAAACCCTTGCAACAATATCCTCTTCTCCATCCATACGTCTAGAAAAAAAAATGAAGAATGGGTAAAGAAAAATATTAAATCAAGAGCTTTAGCTCTGATATCATATACGAGCAGAAAATAACTTAAAAAAGCTATTGATCAATAGAAAGACAAAGAAAATTCTTATTGATCATCTATGTATTATATACAGCCAAGAGAATGATTATATACAAGAAGGAATAACTAACTAGCATGTACCCAGCTTCTAGAATGTACCCACCCTACAAATAACAACCTTCCTAGCTAGTAAGCTGTGTGCTGACAAAGAATAAAGGAATAATATAAAACAGAAATTCAGAACAGAAATTGGTAACCAAATATACAAATAACAGTTTTGTTTTTCAATTGTGAAACTGTTTTCTTAGTTATGATTTGAAGGAAGTGTCTTCTGATCGCAAGTATTTTGAATGTGCACACAACTTGTTTGATGATTGGATTGTGCAAGTGAGACTTGCACATCTTCTTCCTTTAGTTGTGGATTTGACCCTTGTTTAGATGAAAGGGGCGATACTGATCTTTAGCAAGTGATGTAATGAAATAAGCTCTTTAACATTTTATTCACCAAAATTTCCATGTCAGGTACCTGTCCCGGAAAGAGATCAAGGTTATTGCTGAATGTGGATGCCCAAGTCTAGACAGGAAAGTGGTAAACTCAGGGAAGCGTCTAAGGGCTTACGTCCAAATTGATGAAGAGAATGTATGTATGCTTTTTCCTTCGCTGATTTTCCAGGGAAAAGAAAATCTTCTTTGCTTCCTTTGGTCATGTGGTTGCAATTTTAATAGCAGAAGAAGATGGATCTTTAATAGGGGCAGATATGGTTCAGTTTAAAGGCCAAAACCAAAACAAAGCAAACCAAAACCAAAATTATAGAACACAAAATTGTCAAATTTTGAACTTGACCAAATTGGTATCATTCAGTTTTGATTTTTGGTTTTTAACATTTATAAATTTCATTATGCACTTTTGAGGTTATATTGCTAAAAAAAATATTCCACCCACAAAAATTTTGATAATTTAATACAAAACTGCATAAATGCTAAAACATTCTTTTTTAATTTACAGAAAAAGTACTATCAAGGAGATCATAGAAGTGCATTAATGTGGAGGATAAGATAGAATTTCTCATAAAGAAAAAGAAGAAAAGGGGGGGAAAAAATAAAAAAAAAGTAATTTTTTTTTTGCTGTGCAATCTCTTTACAGAATGGTTTGAACCAAATCGTTGAACTCCCCTAACTTTTATTAATTAGAAGTCACACATCACTTCTAATTCAAGCATCCACCTTAGTAGGTTTGCAGCTCGTGCAATTTAAGGGGAAACTGTGATAGGGCATATGTGCCTTCACGCAAAGATGAAGGTGGACGGACTGTGGATGTAATGCGTATTCTGTTAACATATGGGCTCAATCCCATTACTCATACAGTGGAGAACAGATCATGTGAAAATGAAATTGTTAAAGAAGCAGTGAGAAGACTGCTGAAAGAAATGGTGAAGTTCAGCACACTTTCAGAAAAGTGTGAATCTAGCTCAGAGGAAAAAGACCACAAAGAACTTCCAATGAAGCAAGGCGATTGGCACTGTCCCAGGTAATCTGTTAATCTTATAGGAATTGAATATCAACTCTGCATTTTGTCTCCTCTGCGCCTAATCTAACTTACTCTTGACTTTTTACTCTTCATTTGGTAGATGTAACTTCCTCAATTTTGCCAGAAATGCTAAGTGCTTACGCTGTGATTATTTATTCCCAGAAGACTCAAGAATTAAGTGAAGATCAGAATTTTCTTCCAATGAAGAAAGGAGACTGGATATGTGACGAGTAAGGGTTCTAAGTCAGATTTTGTTGTTTTCTAATATGGTGGTTCTGTTTCTCAACAAGATTTCTGATTTCTTACAGATGCAATTTTTTGAATTTTGCAAAGAATACAAGATGTTTCCAATGCAAAGAGAAGCCTTCAAAGCGGCAGCTCCATCCAGGGGAATGGGAATGCGAATCGTGAGTTGTTTTCCACATTTAGTCTTCTCAATTTTATCAAAACCAGGATGAAAAAGTTGAAGTTCATTATTCTCTAAGATTGTGTTGTGTTATTATATAGATGCAACTTCATCAATTTCAGAAGAAACATGGTATGCTTGAACTGTGATCATAGGCGCCCAAAGGCATCAAATGCTTCCGACATGTCTGCACGCCCGCAGCGACAGAGTGGAGGGCATCGTAATCATAACAGATGGGGATTTGTTGACAGTGGAATTGAAGTAATCTCTAGTAAATCTGTCAGACAAGGGAGTAAAAATCAGAAGAGAGGTTCAATTTTGTGGAGATTTGCAGAGGAGGAGAGCAATGACGAAATCAGTTCCATTTCTAGGAATGAGGATTCAAGATTTCTAGATTTTCCAATTGAAGGAGGCAAGAGTGCCTTGTCCCAGAATCCAAAAAATAGGGAAAAATGGAAGTTGGAGATGTTAGAGAGGAGGCAAAATGCTGCAATAACAAGAGAAATTAATGATCCAATTCAGTCCTCCCATAAACAGAGAGGTTTAAAGCTTCCTGAATCTATGGATGACAAAGAGATGGCTGATTGGTTTGGTCATTAGAAAGCACAGGGCCAGACTGAAGATGAGCCTGTCTGTACCATGGAAACAGCATAATGTAAGTGAGTTGACTAATAATGAATACTTGTTTAGCCAACTCAAAGGTCATAAGAAGTATCAGGAGATATTTTTTGCTCAGTGTCCAAGTTTCTAAAAGTTTCACCTTCCACTGATTTTCTGTAGAAATTCATTCATTTCATCCAATAATTTATTGAATTCACATTTCTGTGCTGCATATATGTTTTTTTTTCCCCTTCATATTCTTACATATATTCCTACCTTCATACATAAACATGTTGTGCAGCATTAAGGTATTATATTTTAGAGCTTATAGAAGTTTGTCAAAGATTTTCCATCCAACTCCTTGGTGAAGAACCTCGTTAAGTAATCAATGTACTGGAATTGCCTATAAATGGCGGGCTTCTCAGGCGATATCAACTCTGGAAACGGTCCATATAAGTTTTCTCTGGCAGTTGGGTTGAAGAAGACCGCGATTGATACTCGTGGTTCATCCAGGGAATTAGCCAAGACTCTGTGCTCCACACTTTTATACTCTTCATTTGACATGATCTAAAACAAAATCAATCAGTTTTAAGTTAGAATTTTTTATTATACTAAAATAACAAAACTTACATGTATTTACACATTATTTACATTTGAAAGCTCATACTACAGGTACTCATTATTCTCTGTATGTTATTCTTAGTAAGTTAATTATGATGTTTTCTTATTATAATTTTAATTATGTTATTATTTATGTGCTAAATTTATATTATAGTTGAAAATAAAAATAATATTTAAATAATAATAAAAATAAGGTAACCTGAAATATGTCACCAACGTTGATGACCAGGGCACCGGGAATGGGCTTGACATCCAGCCATTCTCCGTCATGCTTGATCTGCAAGCCGCCAACCTGGCTCTGAAGCAGCACCGTTAAAACTCCTGGATCAGTGTGTGATGTAATCCCCACCGTCAGATCAGGCTGTGGACAGTAAGGATAGTAATGTCCGACCATCACCCTTCCGTCCAGAAACGTCATTTCTTTCAACCTCCCTGGATTTACTCCCAGACCTTCACACAGCAACTCCATCAGGACTTCACCCAGCCGTTTGATCTCCTGGTTCCACTCCACGATCGCCCTTCTAATCATTTCAGGAACTTCTTCTAGGTTTGGCAACTCTGGTCCAAGTCTCATCTGAAGAGTGTCCCTACAATTAATTGAAAATTTTATTTGTAAATTGTTAGAAAAACATCATTAGTTCATGTTTATAAACATGTACTAAATCCAATGATGCTTTTTGTTATTAAAAATGTTTGAAAAAAACATGTTACAACGTTAACTTTAGCCAAGGTAATAATAAATAAATAAATAAATAAATAATAAACTTCACAAAAAGATGTTGTCTGATCTCATCCATGTGTTACCTCCAGCTGGCGGCTTTAGAGTGAAACAAGTCCACATTAGAGAAGAACTGCACTGCCTTTCCACTTCGACTGTAGAAAGACTCTTTTGCCTCCGTTGGCTGCTCGTGAAAATCTTTCACGGCGGCGATCATACGGTCGAGGAGATCAACGGGTACTCCGTGGTTCACAATTTGGAAGAACCCGAACTCGCCACATGCGCGCTTCAGCTGATCCACGACGGTTGATTGGGTGGTGGGGGAATCGATGTTGGAGAGGTCAACGGTGGGTATGGGATTGGACTGGGGTCGGATTGCGGTCGGGTTAGGTTTAAGTCCGGATAGGACATGAGGCGGGTGGATGAAGAAGCGAGGGATGGTAGAAAGACCCGAGTCAACCAGACCTTTTACCCCTGTTTTTGAATCATCAAATCGCTTCACTTCTTTTAAATGATCGTAATTTTCCTCCGTCTTCACCATTTCTGTCGCCATGATTATCGCCTTGGTGGTAAAGAGGAATCAAAGAAAATAAATAAGAACGTCCGTGAAGAAACTAAAGAATTGAATTTTCTTTTTAAACTTCTCTTCTGAGAAAAGAAAAAAAAAAAAAAAGACAAAAGAAGGAAATTCAATTTGACAAGGCAGTACAAAGATAAAAAGTCGTTTACGTGGAGGGGGGGAGTAATAGGAGGACCACTCTCCTAATAATTGACACACAGTCCTTTGTTTTTTAATGAAAATCTTCTAATTTTTTCAAAAATAAATTTAATTTATTTAAATTATACATATTTCCTCCCAAAAATAATTTTATAATTCAAAATAATAGAATATGGGGCTATCTCCACAAACCCAAAATTAAAATATTACTTGTATTTAATTTTCAATAATATCCACATTTTATTTTTGGTGCAAGAAATTCAAGTTTGAACATGGGTGTTTCAATGTTTTTGGGATTCGTCATAAATTAAAATTTTTAGATTTATGACATTAAAAAACCAGGTTAAAAAATAAATTTCTTGTTGGAACACTCTTATAAAAGAAAAAAAATAAGTTTCTCGTAAAAATATTCTCATTTGATTTTTTATTTATTTATAATACTAAAACCCAACTTTATAAAAGAATATAATTTTTTTTAAGTATAATATATTATATATGTTATTTTTATATCAGATAAAAATTGAATCTCAAATTTTTGACTTTATAAAAGTGGAGAGATATTGGTTCATCAAAAACAGTGATGTATAATTTTATAGAAAAATTAAATAAATTTATAGAAAAATTAACCACTAGATTCGTACTTCGATCCAATATATATATATATATATATATATACACATATGTACTAGCACCTTTTTTTCCCTTATCCCAACAAAATTTAACCATTTTCTACTCTCTCTCTCTTTTGCCATCCATATTCTTCTTCTTCTTCTTTCTCTTCTTTTAATTACTCTTTCTTATTGTCTCTACTATATTATGTAATATACAAAAGTAGAGTAACTGCCATATACTGTATAATTTAATCTATATATTTACATAGATACTTAAAATATATACATTAACTGATGAAATAATAGGTTATAAATAAAAATGAATGTAAAAAAAGACAATGAAAACATAAAAGAAATGAAGAATATGATTTGAGATATAATTTAATCTATATATTTACATAGATACTTATAATATGTAAATTAGTGGATGAATTAATGATTTAGATAGTAGGGATGAACATAAAATAAGACAATAAAAACATAAAAGAATATAATTTGAGATTTAAAGGTGGAAGAAGGAGGAGGAGGAACTCGAAGTAGATACCAAATAGATGCTACGGAGACATATGTGTCGTGTCTGTATGGACAGAAAAAATATATTAAATATTATTTAAATTATATGTAAATATTAAGTTGATACTGTAATAATATTTACGACGTCACGATTCTATGAACATAAAAAAAGTGTTAGGTATTAGAAATATTAATAATATTAATTTTTTTTTATATGTTAGAGGTTAATAAAATATTTTTAATACTAAAACTATGCATTTAAACATAAAAAAAAGACTATACGAATTTATCTGAATATTTATTAATAGTATAGGAGCTATTATTATATTTTAGCCTGTATTTATATATAAAAAGAATCAACGGTAACATTCCCGTGCACAGAATAAAAAGTCCGCTCGCGTCCCACTCTATCATACCTCTCTCGTCTCCTTTTTATCCACCATCTACAGCGTTGTCGAGTGGTCATCTGAGTCGTGGGGAACAGTTGTTGGACTGCAACCTCTTTTTCTTTCTGCTGGAGCTCTCTTTGTTAGAAATTTCTTCATCTCTTCCCTCTCCTTCTTTCTTGTTTCGTTTTGTAACTGGAAAACCCTACTTTACTCTCTGATTTGTATCGACATCACAAAATGGGCTCTGAAGGATCAAGGGTTGTCGGTGAGTTTCACTAAGAAGCCGTATTTCACTATTTGCTACCCTTTTCGTGTTCTCTTCAATTGTATGCGAATAGTTTGTTTGCAATTTTGGTGGTTGTTTGTTGTTTTGACGGTATTCTGTCGGCATTTACACATTGGTGGAATTTTGAGGGGTTTATGACATCTAGGTTTACGCCAGTTAGGGTTTTATGTGTTTGGTTGCCGTTCCTTGTCTGCTCCTGCGTTATCCGTGGGGAAAACGCTAATTGAGTGAATTTATTACAGTTTCTGAAGTAATGTGAGAGATGGAAGATGAGGGGGTTTTATACTGGTGGTGATTACTATAGAGACGATCCCTTCAGTCTAACAGTAAATAAAGCCATCGGGTTTACCATTGGTATTTGAAGTGACATGTTGCTTTCACGTTGAAATATTGGAGTAATGCGTGATTGGACGCATGTAATAATTACTCCTCGAACAATAAGGATTGTTAGTTTGATTAAGGATCCGAATTTTTGCTGAAATGTGTCTCCATTTCCGACCAACTGTTGACCTCCATAGCTTTTCAACCTCCGTTATAGTTCTTGCTCAATGATGATAAGTCTCTTTTCCTTTGATGGCCTTTTAAATTAAGGATCTTCTGTCCCTTGAGTTGTTTGCCCTTTATTTACTGCTGCCCTGAATCATAATGTTTTCTGTTAACTAATAGGTTTAGTTATTATAACATGTTTGGATATGTGTACTAAAGATTGTTAGTTTGATTAGATATGTGTTGTTTTGCTGGCACTTGTGTCTCCATGTCTGAACTACTGTTTGTATCTGTAGCTTTTTCTTTTAAGATCCATTATAGTTCTCTTGAGAAAATTAGCCTTTTAATCTAGGCATTTTCTGACTTGGGAGGTCTTCTCCTTTTACTTGCTGCTAAAGACTGTCCTGCAAGGAAAAGATTTAGCTGTTATAACTATTTGGATTTTCTCTCCTTTTACTTGCATTTAATGGCTGTCTTGCAAGTAAAAGATTTAGCTGTTGTAACATATTTAGATTTGCGTCATGCATTAAAATAAAAATGGCTAATCTCCAATGCAAATAAGTTAAACCATAAATTGTGGGCAGATGTCATCTCTTTCCGATCAGATTAGACAACGTCACATTCATGTACGAAAAGATGTTAATGAGTTGGATTGATCCGGAAAGAACTTTGACTAGGGTCATATCATCATACTTTACAGCTGGGATATGTCAACAAAGAGCAATTATATGCTTTCCGATGGTGTATAGGATGGTTTGTCCTATAATCAGTAGGACGATCGAGACAAATGAATGTAGAATAGGGGATAAATCTATCTCTTTTCAATATCAGGGGGCGACGACTGTTTCGCATGAGATTCATGAACTCAGCAACCAGAGTTTTCACATGGATGTACTGTGCCACTAAAATCACTGATCTTATTGCTTGATTGCCATGCTGCAAGACTCTTTGTTATTGGGAGAGCATTTTTGGAATTTCTTTTAGATAATATAGTCAGTAAGGATCTTTGTTGTTCAAGGGTCCAAAAGTTGATTTCACTGAAATCTTCTGGCTGTTTTGCAACGAATTATAGCATTCCTTTTTATGAGGAAACTTGGGAGTGCAACCCTAATTTTGAAGTCAAACTTCAAATAGAATTAAGCTTCTATACACTCTAGGCTACCAGTTCTGTGATAAAAGGGCATGTTTAGTGCTGTAGCAGCTATGGTTAATATGTTGAAAGCTGTAGGAGCTATGGTTAATTTTAATATGGATATAAAGGGCAGGAAACCTAGGAGAAGGAAAATTTTATCCGTGTTTTTATACTTGAAGCTTCAAAATCCTTCAGTATCAATAATAGTCATGTAACTTCTTGACCCAATGGACACCTTGTACAGGATTAATACTGAATATGCCAAATACATTCGTAACGCAGGATGACTGCTGATGTATGCATGTGCAAGCCTGTCTTTGTATGTTGCCTCTTCTGTCTTAGCTTTGTTGTCACAGTTGATCTTACATGCTAGCATAAACACATATGTATACTTTATACCTTCTTGAAGATGAACATTAATACTACTGCAAAACATGGCTTAAGTCAGGGAATCTCATGTCATAATCACAGTGGCATTCACATGGGTTCATGTTGTTTTTGAATTGTTTCTCTATCTATTTCATTGAGGTTCTACTACCAAATATCTAAATGGGGATTTGTTCTGTGAATTTTCATGCATGTAGTTTTCTATATGCTGGTTTAACTCTTCCATGTAAACTTGAAATAAACTATGTTTAATCTTGAACTAATATCTATTTCCACTTGTAGGTCCACATCAAATAGTAATATGGAATATACGTCAATTATCATTTGTCACCAGAAGTGTTGTCTAAATTTGTGCAAGGAAAATAATCAAATAGAATCAAGTCGTTGGGAAACTGATTATGTTGGTTGAATCTGTTGTTGCATCTATTGCTTAGTGCTTTTTAAATGATTGTGTGCATGAAGATGATTATTTGGTCCATATTTCGTGGTTATTTCAGTTCCTCGGAATTTTAGATTATTGGAAGAGCTTGAGAGGGGTGAAAAAGGGATTGGAGATGGAACTGTCAGCTACGGAATGGATGATGCTGATGATATATACATGCAATCTTGGACAGGGACTATTATTGGTCCCCCTAATGTATGTCTTCTCTTGTCTCTCTTTCTTTTTTATTAGGACAATGTCTCTCTTTCTTCTTCTTTAGAGAAAATGTGTCTCTTTCTTTTTGCCTCCATCCCCAGTTAGTTTGTGTATAGTGAATGGACATGATCAGGCCTGATGTCTAGTCACCCTAGCCTAATTCCAGCTTATGTGCGCTAAGCCAGACTTCTGACTAATTTATATATGCTAATTTTTTTATGATCTTTCTTGCTTAAAGCTTTTTCTTGTTTTCAGATGACTGTCCTTATGATGGTATGCCTAGTGTTAGGAACTTCTGTTACAGGCAAAATGTCTTGGATCTTGCAATCTTCTTGTTAATTTATTAATAAAGTTGTATGCATGCGTCACTTAATGCAATTGAACCTCAAATTAATATGAACACCTTTTTTTTTTTTTTTTCAGTTTCAAGTTTAAGAGTACCTTTTAGTTCTTTGATTCCATAATGTTGGTAATAAATTCGGGTTTATGTGGATTATCTTGAAAATTAGGAAATTATATCAGTTTTTGGATACTCTTTCTTTTTCTCTCTGTGTTACAAACGGGCATAGTGATACAGAAAACACAAGACAGCATGTTTAAAGGAAATGTAGTTGTGTTACACAGGCAAAAGCATGAGGCAAATACTTGATATCTTACAAGCATATTTTGTGCTTTAGGCATTGCCACATTGTGTATCTAGCTTTTCGAAAGAGAGGCTGGGAGCCGGTATAGTGGGAGAATCTTCAATTTCTCACAGTTCCTTTATGAATTTTTTTTGAAATATAATTCCTTATGAAATTGTTGTTATCTTATTTGATGATTTTGCATGTCAGACTGTCCATGAAGGGCGCATCTACCAGTTGAAGCTGTTCTGTGGCAAGGACTACCCAGATAATCCACCAAGTGTTAGATTCCAGACCCGGATAAACATGACCTGTGTCAATCAGGAAACTGGAGTGGTAGGTGATGTTGCTCAAGATTTTTGTTGGCAGAATAAAAAAAAAAAAAATTACTTATATGACTGGCAAATTATCCAGGTTGAACCGAATCTTTTTCCCATGCTTTCCAATTGGCAAAGAGAACATACAATGGAAGACATATTGACTCAGCTGAAGAAAGAGATGATGACCCCTCAGAACCGCAAGCTTGCTCAACCTCCTGAAGGTTTGTAAGTTTTACTTGTCCAAGTGCATTCTTTGTGTTTTTGTCATGTCATTTTTATGAGCAAGCAAGAATGTCTCTGCAGGATTGAATTTTCTTAGGTGGACAACAATCCTGTGTGAGTTTGTGAAAATTTTAATTTTAGTTAAAGCCAATAAGAAACTTATAGTCGCTAGAATGGCTATTGTATGTGTGATTTGGATAGAAATGAACAAGGGGGTGTTTTATGGCATTATCTTTCCTTTTGCCAACACTAGAGATAACTGGTTCCAGACCTTTAGTTGTTTGTTTAAGGGTCACTCAGCTTTGTAGATATATTTTTTTTAAATAAGCTCTCTTAGGTATGTTGATGATCAATAGAACCTACAAATATTTTGTTTTCTCTTGATAATGTTAATTAATATTCGTTGGAGTCTACGCGGCCTTTTCTATTGGAATAAGGTGATGCTTTTGGTTTCTTTGTGGGCCAAAATACAGAGTTTTGGGGGATATGCCTTCATATTTTTTTGTAAAGCAATTGGGAGGCTGTTATATGCTAAGGGCTTTTCATTCTCTTGTTCTGGTTTACATTTTTGTCTTCTTGTTTGAGGATGCCTTGACTTTGGTCTTTTTGTAATTTCCTCTTTGCTTCTTAATAATATTGCTTTTTTATCCACAAAAATAAATGGCGTTATCAATTGGAATTTGACTGTCCTTGTGTATCTGGTAAAAGAATTCGTGTATGAGTTTGCTGTGTTAGTTGGTGGAGGTTTGAGCTAGATCTTTTGCCTTTATGGATTGCTATGCATAGAGAGGTCTTTCAGGAAGTATTAACTGTGTTCTATTTGATCTATATTCTGCTCAGGTAATGAAGAGGCAAGGATCGATCAAAAGGGGTTAGTGCTGAAGTGTTGTATTCTCTGAGTCAGGTCAGAGTTGTATCAAGAGGATAATGTATATAAAGTATATACTCTAGATGATTCCAACTGCTGGCTTAGTTCGGTCAATGTGTATGCTTGTCTCTCAAAATATTTCCACCAAAATGGTGGCTAAATAAATGGGAACTCTTCATTGAATTGGCTATGTCCAGGTTTTATGTGCTGTATCAATTTTTAACTTGGTGAGAGAAGTGTGTTTGCTGTCGATAATTTTAAATATGTAGCCAAGAATCTCTATAAAGAGATTGGGCAACTGCCTTTCTGTCATTTTCTCCAATATTTTTTTTTTTTTTGCCCAAACTTGCATTCTAAGCTGTAAGTTATGACTTCCCATCTTTGACTTTTATGAGGAAAATTTCAGCAAAACCTATCCTGTTCAGAATCCCTCTCATCTGGGACTGGAATGCTTATTATATTCTGGACATGTTTATGCAAACAGCCTTTCATTTCTGTGCATCTGTTTCTGGAGCATACGAAAATCCATCTTGACAGCTATGTATAGTTCTGAGCAGTGTATTATATGATACGATAGATTGATTCGTACAACTAGCATTCTTTAAATACACTGCTCAGAACTATACATAGCGTATGTGTTTTGAACCTTGATTTGTGCGTGGTAGGTAAGTTAGAAGGCCAAACTTTTTAGTGCATGTAAAGTTTATGATTATGTTTGCTTCAAGCTAAGGTCACACGATACTTGCAACAGTCTATTTACCATTGTTTTTTTAGGTAATTCAATATTTACCATCAATATTATTGTTATTATTATGATTGTTTTCTTCAATGTTTCTTCAGTTCAGTTCTTGTAGTATTAGAGGGAGATGGTAGCAAAGTATGAATACCTGGGGGTGTCTTCTTTACTCGCCATATCTAAAAAGAAATTTTAGGTGTTGAACTGTTTTCATATCTTCATTATAATTATATACCTCCGACTTCAAAATACACATATAGGTAAAAACCTAATTAAGTACTTTAATTAACTTTTGGACATTTTAATTTTGTGGAATTGAGTTATCCCTGAATGAAAATTGTTATTATACGTAAGGTGTCATTTTATGCTAAACCGCTGACATGAAAGACTGACGTGATGCAGATACATACGGAACTGTTTTAATTCTCTTCTTAAAGAAGTTGAACCTAATTTGCCAAGCCTTATTTATTCATTAAAAATTAAATTAATAAATTAAACCCAGAAGTTTTGTCGCCGCCCCATATTGTCCGGAAGTTAGAACATTAAATGTTATTGAGATATCTGTCACTGTAAAGTCGAGCAGTGAGAAGATGATGTGGGGCAGCGACTGTAGACAGAGCAGAAGGGAGAACAAGTTCACTGGCGTCATTATCGGTAAGAGATGGTAACTTGGGAGAAATGATTATTTACTTTTACTGTGTAATATTAATTTATATTTATATGTTAAGCTTCTAAATTTACGAACAGTTATTGGATTTTATCGAAACAAGGGATTATATATATATATATTTTTATAAGGTAGAAAAGATTAGCCCCGTAACTTTGCTTTTGTCTTCTTAAGGTGTTATAATTAATTGACTTGCCTTTTTTCTTTGCTTAAAATGAAAAGACACTTGTGTGTTAATAAAGAAGGCCGCGCGGGGCAGGTTTCTTAATTAAACACGTTTATCTCCTACCTCTTTTTCCTTAATATTAGTGGCCGTCTCTTTTCTCCTCCTTATTTAACTCCTAGTTTTATTTTTAAATTAAAAAAAAAAAAAAAAAAAAAAATCTGCAAAACCCAACTTCTTATATACGCAGTTCGGCTTCCTTTCTCTCATCTTACACCTGCTTCTTCACATGGCATCTCCTTCTTCTTCAACATCAGCTGAACCTCAACAAGGTAATTTCCATTGCACCCTTTCCTTTTCTGCTTGCATTTCTGTAAATATGCAGTACTTATACATGTATATTTACATAAACAGATTATGTAGAGTACTCTTCTCCAGAATTACTTTAGATTCCCTTTTCTTCTTGGGTTTTCTTCCATCTGTATACCGATTTTTTTTTTAATATATATTGATGTTTATAAGAAGTTGAAGGCAGCAAATCCATTCCCACTGATCAAACTGTTCTGCAAAAGCATGCCGCTTTCTTCGATAGAAACAATGATGGATTTATTTATCCTTGGGAAACCTATGAAGGTAATTTTTCTTTTCTTTTCTTTTTTTTTTTTTTTTTTCTCTTTCACTTTTTATGTTCTTCTTCAACAAAAAAATTATTGATTACCCATATCTTAATATATCAATTTCATGGTTTTTTTTGTTTTCTAATTTCATCTTCATGTTAACAGGTTTGCGTGCAATTGGTTCTGGTGTGATAGCATCAGTATTTGGATCTATTTTCATTAATGTTGGTCTTAGTGGCAGCACTCTTGCTGTAATTCTCTCTACTTTCCTCTTTTTTCTTTTCTTTTCTTTCCTCTTTATGTTCCTTTATCCTCTTCTATTTCAGTAGTTTGTAACTTAATACCTTTTCCTTTTCTTCAACGTGTAACATACATATATATATATATATTTGTAATCATATCTTACCATAGATCCTTTACTGATTGCATTTTAATATGGTGAAGGGGAAATCCTTTTCTCTGCTATTCCCAATTGAGGTGAACAATATTCATTTGGGTAAACATGGGAGTGATTCGGGCGTTTACGATAAAGAAGGAAGGTATGTATATACATGCATATTGTAACTGTAATGGTTCTTTTGGTTCATTCCAATTTTAGCATAAAATTTCTTTTTCCTTGAATTTTGTTTATCTTTTGACAAAAAATTTAAAAAATTTACTTATCTAAGTTACTGTAGCACCTTGAAATTAATCCATAAAAAATAAAGTTAATTACAACCTCAAAAGCAAACCCGTGATCCTAATATTATGATTGAAGAAATTTTTTTCCAAAAAATATAAAAATATTATCTTTAAAAGGTAATATAATAATATATATATATTTTCTATAATTTAATTTCTTTTTAACATCATTTCCAAACATCTCCCATGATTTTGTAAGGAAGAAGCATTTGAGTCTCTAAGGAACCCACCAATACCTAACCACCTTAATTTTTCCAAAAACAACCATAGTTAAGTTAACACCCTAATCTCTTGTAATAAGGTATTTCTTTAGGTGGAAAGTGTAAATTTGAGTACATCACATGCATTAAACAAATATATATACACATATATATCTACTGGTTACTATATTTGGAATGTCTTTTTTTAATCAATAATTAAATGATTATTTTTTTTGTGATAATTAATTTTACAGATTTGTTCCTTTGAAATTCGAAGAAATTTTCACCAAACATGCTCTCACGAATCCTGAAGGTTTAACATCTGGTGAATTGAAGGCAATGCTAAAAGCTAACAGAGAACGCAAGGACTGGTTTGGATGGTAGATAAGCTTTTCCTCTTTCTCTTTGGATTTTTTGCATTCGCTTGATCGCAATTAAACAAGATTGTTAGTCTTAAGTTATTTACTATTTAGTTCGGAAAATTTGATGCATATGTTCTAGAAAAATTTAAATCTAATGTCTTTCATTCTAAATGAAATTTATTAGAGACAAAAACGCAAGTATTTCAACAGGATGTGATTGTAAAGTTAGAGTTTCTCGAGTCAGTCAATCTAATTTAACTGGATTATACCTAAGATAGTAATACTGATTATAATTTTTTGAACTATTTTTTTAAATTATAATTTAAATTTTTTAGTTGGTTTTTCTTTACCTGACTCTAAGTATCAACTTTACTATATTATAGGATAGCTAGCTTCGCTGAATGGCAAGCATTATACCACCTCTGTAAGGACAAAGATGGATTACTACACAAGGAGACGATTAGGGCTGTGTATGACGGGAGTCTCTTTGAATGCTTGGAGAAAGAGAACGAGAAGAACAAGAAGAAATCATCATAAGAGTAGTAATTGAAAAGCTATTTCCATGATAATTACAATATGGAAAAAAATTGTGTTTGTTTTTAAATTTCTCTTGGTAACAAGCATCTACTTTGATTTGATCATTAGCTTACATAAGTTTATGTTCAAACAAATAATCAAAATTGTAAGGTGTAATATGCGTGTATAGATAGATATATACATATAAATATATATCTATGTTTATATATTGTATCTTTGATGAATTGTTGTGTAAAGGGACTATAGTGTCATAGGGTTTCTCTGTTTCAACTAGGGTGAGATTGCTTTCAAATATAGATGTGGAAATTATACATTTAATTTTATATGTAAGATATGGTTAAGCACTTTTTATGATACTTTGTTAGACACCATTCACAGCCTCTGGACACACATAACACTTTATTTTTTTGGCACTTGATTATAATGGTCATTTTATATTTGAAAATGATTATATGGGTAATATGGTTATTTTATAGTATTAGTTAAGTAAAGATTAAATTAAATTTGGAACTTTTAAAGTAATTATATGATGATTAATTAAACTATCACATATGATCTAATTTGTTAATGAAATAACATTTAAGTTACAATGATTTAGAGAAATAATTGTGGTTGAACTCCCGACATCCTAAAAGTTCGACAAAGAAACGTCGAAGGAGAGCTCAAGCTCAAATGGTTTTGTAGCCAAAACTCTTAAAAATAACATTCCTCCGAGGGGACATGTTCTCTTGACCAAATCTCAATATTTGTTTTAGTAGAAACTCTATATTCAAGTTGCTTTAATGAAAATTAAAATTAAGACCAAATCGTTGCTCAAAACATATCAAAAACCTCGAACACACTTTACTTTCTCTCCTTCTTATAATAGAACAAGATGTTATCTACAAATTAAAAAATACTAACCTTATTCAAATCTCCATCTCTCGGATTAATATCTAATATTACACGTAAATCTGTATCTTTTTAAACAAAAGACACTAAAAATAAAAAGGGAAGATAAAAGATTACTTGTGACGACCATTATACGTAAGAAACATTTCTATTGAGTAATCTCACCAAAATTGATAACAAAATTGTGGACATGCATCAATAAATTCAAGTTATCTATTTTTACATAAGTGTTTTTTTTTTTAAGACCAAAAAAATTCAAAATTCATGAGGTCAATAAAATTTTCAAAATCTATCTTGAATATGAACCTAATATATATACTCAGTTTTGTCAAATTGACAATTTCTAAGTTAATCATTAATCTTTTATTTACTTTTAATAAAAACAAATTAAAAGTTATTAATAACTTAGATTATGATCTAATAAGAGATTAAATTAAAATTCTTTTTGTAATCTTCTTAATATGTACTAAAATTATTATTTTTTTCTAATTTTTTTGAAAAGTTCAACGCATATGTCTATCTTACAAGTCTCTAAAACCAAGTAGATTTTTAAACATTCTTATCAATGAACTTAATTATAGATCACATAATCACATTATTTTGAAGTAAACTAGTTTTTTTTTTTATCTGTAACGATTCCGGAAATTCCAAATAGAGATCAATTATAAATTTAGTGTAGAAGCAAAATAAATAGTTAGGGTTCACATTCCTTACACAATAATTGGAAGTACCAAATAGGGTTTACGGGTATAACCATTTTAAAAGAACAACTAATAACCAAAAAAATAAATTAAAGGTAAATAACTGAATGTCCTACTCCCAACCATCTTGTGGATTGAGTTCTGGATCCTAATTTTCTTGATATGAAATGATTAATGAAAGAGCGAGCTACACTAATCCATTAAAAATATCACGTTACTCACCGACACGGAAATGAATGTTNNNNTTGGGTGTTTTACTTCGGTCAACCTATAAAGAAGGAAACAATGATTATAATGATGGAAGAATTATGCAGAACGGGAATCGGGAAGGGCTTCATCGGAGGTATTTTTTGTATTTTTCTATGGTAGTATCGTCAGGCTTTATTGGCATTTTTCGGCCAATCTGTTAGTCCTTTTGTTCTAACTTGGATATGAGGGTGTTTAAAATTAAATTTCGAGTAAAAGAGAATTTTTACCTCTTTTGGCAGTCGGAGGTGGCTCCAGCTCTTCCTTTACGGCGGCTGGCTCTTCTTCTTCGGTGAGGTGTCTGATGGCTAGAGTTAGGGTTTGGTGTGAAGAAAGTAATTTATATCCACCTCCTTTTAATCTTGGTCGTCTATCATATTTGATCTGAACCGTCTGATCGTGATTAAATAGGAAGTAAATCTGAACTGTTTATCGCGATTTAATCTGAACCGTCCGATCACGTTTAAATAAGAAGTGAATCTAGACCTCCGAACTGTCCGTGTGCACGAGAACGAATCTGGATTGTCCGATCACTAGCACGCGGATCACCCGCGTGGCCTCCTGTGTGGCACCGCGTCAGTGTCCCTTACCACGTGGCGTGCTCTAGTTCGTCGGGGTTGTTGACTGGGCGTCTTGCGTGGCATAACTTTTTTAAATTGCATTTTGACTCTCAATTTTTGAATTTTCTTTCATAAATACATCCAGAACCCAAATTTTCACCATTTTTTTCCAAAATTATTTTCAATTTCATCCTCCATTTAATTTTCTCTATTTTTACATTAAATAATAATTAAAAAATAAAATTTAAATTGTATATATTAATTTGAATATTACAAATTAAATTTCAGGTATTACAACTCTGCCCCCTTAAAAGAAATTTTGTCTCTCTCTCACTCAATTAAACAGTAGGGGATATCGGGATATGAAGTTTGATTCTACCTCTTATATGGCCTCTCTCGGTGTGTGATTCTGCCATATGACCTTAATAAAGGGAATTTTCTTATTGCGGAGTATTCTATTTTTCGGTCCACAATACCGACCGGTACTTCCTCGTAGGGCAGATCCTCCTGAAGTGAAAGAGACTCGTGGGCAAAGACGTGAGAGGAGTCTGAGTTGTACTTGTGTAGCATGGACACATGAAACACATTGTGGACCTTGAAAAGTTCTGGAAGTAGTGTCAGTCTGTAGGCGGTGGTGTCAATTCAGTCTAAGATTTCAAATGGCCCAATAAACCGGCGGTTTAGTTTTTTCCTCTTGTCAAACCTACTGATTCTCTTGAAAAGAGTGATATTAAGGAATACCTGATCACCTTTCTTAAATTCCAAGTCCCTCTTCCGGGTGTCCACATAACTGTTATGTCTGCTCTGAGCCATTTGAATGTTCTTCCTGATCTTAATTATTTTGGCTGTAGTCTCCTTTACGAGCTCTGGACCAAACAATTTTCTATCACCCATTTCTTCCCAACATATTAACAATTTGTATGGGCGGCCATATAAACCTCGTACGGAGCCATGCCAATACTTGTTTGGTAGTTGTTACTGTAGGCGAACTC